TGGAGAAATTGGAAGTGTTACAACTGACCCACGTTACAACTATCCCCGGTCTCCCCTACTTCAATGCCATGTCATGCTCACTGATGTGCAAACTAAACTATTTTACACGTTTTCACATTAGCGATCCGTACTACGAAGCAAGTGCAGCAGTCACCGACTCCGTTGTACTTATATGACTTAACTAAACCTAACAACAGTAATCACGATAAGGGCGGTAGTTATCAGCCCAGGTGTTCCGCATCAACCGCGTTTACATAAAGAGCGGTTTGGCGTCAGCTGACTAATCACAAACAAAGACAGATCTAGAGCTGCATATTTAACGCAAGGAGCAAAAACTGGGACGTTAGACGAGCATGAAGAATAAATTTTTTTTAAATAAAATTCAATAAAAGCGACAAAAGCCAAGAGGAAAGTTGGCAAAATCCCCCACTTTGTAATCAATACCATTACATTAAGTCACAAATAGAGCTAACTCAATAAAACCATTACATTATTTAATTGCTTGAATTTATTATTTTGCGTGTAATTTTCACCTGTTTATTTATTCCTTCTTATTTCTGAATTAGAAAAACAATTCAATCCTGAAGTACAGGATTAAAACCACGGACAGGTCAAGGTGATCTATTAGGCAAAGTACAATAGTCTCTCTGCACTATTTGTATTAAAGAAGAGAGAGAGAGAGAGTCACTGGATCATTGCTTAAATTAATATATTCAAACAAAACAAAACACCTAACTAACAATGAATTTGGCGCTGCATAGCAGACACCAGATGTGTGCTTGAGATGGGTTTTCCTATGCAGAGAGCACTGTACATGACTCACGATCTCTGTAAACTCACATAAACTCAAGAGGCCTCCAAATCAACTACAAACAGTTTAAATCTTAAAAGCCTAGTGTTTAAGCCTTTAGGTTAACTTTGAAAATTGTTGAATTAACAAACATGTTTCTTAATTTAAGCCATTTTCCCCATTGGAGCTATACATCCAGCTCCACTGAATATTTAGTGTCATATAATTACAAGGTTCATAATTTGACATAATTGTTCCTTATTTAATTTACCAAACCTAGTTATTGATTAACCTGATTTTTAATTCGCTCTTATTGTACAATTGCCTTTTTTCAAAGCTACAGAAATATAGCCCACAGCCCAGTGAAAGGGAGACTGAAGCAAATTTTATTGCCACATAATTTTCTTCTGGTTTTTCCCCCTTTTTCATAGGTTACATTTAATTTCAGTTGCTCGAAAGTGGGCACATTTACTAAACCAAACCTTTACTCCCAAAAGTATTGATATAACTTTTTCTATTCCTCATATTTCCAAACTAAATATTTGTTACATTTATTTGAGTGAGGTAACCTTTCATTTTACGTTTAAAAAATCTTACTTCCTAGGCTGCAGGCTATATACATAGTACTTTACTTATGATTTCCCTTAGCTTAATAACCATCTGCCACTTTCTTACAGTATTTCATCTAAATCGTGTCATATAAAAAGAAATCTGAAATTGAAAGGGCACCTTAACTCAAGTGGGCTGCCCATAGACATACAGTATGCTTGCATGCAGCCTGTTGCTTTGCTGCCACACAGCGTTTACCTTTCGGTTTGCATTTTCTTGAGCGCTGGAGCCAAAGCGTCATCAACCTGCGACTATGCACTCAAAGGAACAAGCGCCACACTTCTAGCGTTTTCAGCGTTGCGACATTACATCTAGACTGGAAGGAAATTAGTGGTATGTATATCCCTGTAGGTATGAGAAGGCTTCAGTGACAGTGAAATGTTTAATTATGGTTGTTTAAAATTGTCACCAAACATGAAAATTTGTTTGTTTGTTTTTTCCAACCCGGGAGGCACAGTGGTTTGTCAAGAGTTGCTTAGCTAATGTTAGCGAGCTGGTTTTTTTCAAACGTATTTATTTTCACACACAGAAAGGTGTCATAATAGTGGCTTATAGGTTGAGCCCTATTTTAAATATCAATCGAAGTTAAATGACCATTTATCCTTTTATTAACGAGCCTGGTAGCGTGATTTAGTTAGCAGTGGCAAGTGATGTAGCTAGCATTGCCTTTAGCTGTCATGCTAAGTTTTGGTTATCCAGATGTGTGACTTCGTTATATCCTCAATAATAATAATAACAACGATAACTTGAGTGCAGTTATATATCGCTTGTAAGAAAAACTAATTTATTGTACTTGAATGGATGTCGTAATGTGTGCTATCCGGTGTTTCACACATGCAGTATTCACTTGTTTTCATCACCTGCTCAGTGGTTCATGGTATTGTTTGATGCACTGACAACTTTTGGCAGTTAGCGTGTTGTTTCATATAAAATCACTGTCTTTCTTTGTTCTCTCAGGGGTGGCTGACGTTAGTGCACTATGAGTTTGTTTGGAACAAGCTCGGGGTTTGGGACTGGAGGGACCGGGGTGTTTGGAAGCACGACTACAGACAGCCACAATCCCATGAAGGTAAAGCGGCCTACAAGAGCACAACATGCACTATATGTCCAAAAGTATTGGACCACACCTCTTAATCTTTGAATTGAGGGGTTTAGTGCCATTCCATAGATATAAAATCTAACAGCTAGCCATTACAAACATTTTTGAAAGACTGAATTGTTGTAAAATACTCACTGAATTCAAGTACTGACTTGCAAGGAGTTCATTGACTTCTAGATATTACACACTTGTGGCTTGCCTCCACCAGTGTGTGAATGTGAGAGTGAGTGAATAGTGGAATTGTACGGCGCTTTGAGGGCCCCGAAAAGCGCTATATAAATGCAATCTATTATTATTATTATTATTATTATTATTATTATTATTACAGTGGGTAAAAGTAGCCAATGATTTGCTGACCCACTTACTGCAGATGTCTTCTGACATTAACATCAACACAAAAACTGTGCATCAGGAACTTCACAGTATGGTTTCCATAGCTGTCGAGCTAACATCTTTTGGATTAACAACCCAGTCCCTCTCACCCAAAATCAATGTTTAAACTCACAAATGTTCTTCTGGATGAATGGGCAAAAGCTGCAGTTGCACTCCAAATTTTGTTGAAAGCCTTCACAGAAAACTAGAATGTGTTACAGCTGCCTAGGGGGAACCAACTCCATGTTAATGAATGGGATCTCATCAAAGCTGCTGTAGCTAAAATGTATAGGTGGCCCAATAGTGTTGTCAATATGTTGTATGACATAAACTTTGTTAGATGTTAAAAGGAGTCGTTTAAAACTCTATCCTCATTTTGTCACTGGTCCTCCTCATACTTCTTGTTTTTTTTTGTCTTGCCTTATAGGATGTCGAAGTGACTTCACCTCCAGATGACAGCATCAGCTGCCTGGCTTTCAGCCCACCCACCATGCCTGGAAACTTCCTCATTGGAGGATCCTGGGCTAATGATGTGAGTAATTTATTCACTCGTATTCATTGCCTATGGTGGAGTGAGTAAATGAAAGATTATTACTATAGATTTATTAATACTAATCGCTAAATCATGTTGCTTAGTCCTTATATAATGTGTAATTAGCCTATTTTAAAAAGAGTGACGCATAATGTATGAGCAGGATGTGAAATTCAACATTGTTCAATGAAGGCACTATGCCTAATATACACACTTCAATATTTGTTAATACTGGCCTGAAAAGGCCTAAATAATGGGTATAATGATGGTAGTTACCAACTGTCTCTGTTAAGCTCAGCATTGTGCTTATTTTAAAACTCACTTCTGCAGTTATTTCTAATGTGATGGCCAAACATCAGAGCTCTGAAAATCTAAACTGGGTAGATTTAGACGCCAAAGGTTTCTGTCCTGTAGCCTAATAAGAGAGATGTTATTTTTTTTATTGATTAAACCTGTATCTTTTGAGTGTGTTCTGTGTCCTTGTAGCTGCAGTTCCAGCAGTGTAAGAGTAAAGCAGCAGATTAGAATAGACTATGTACACGTTAGCATATGCTACTTCCGGTGCGGAAACTCTTGTGGGGAGCTTTGTTTCCGGTGTCCTATTCGCGCCTTGTTTACGGTCCAAAACAAGTTAAGCAAATGAATTAATCAAGTGGCGATTTACATTTCTATAGATGTCTTGGGCATTTACTAGAGCTGGGCGATATATCGAGTTTTTAAAACATATCGATATATTTTTGTACGAGATATAAGATGTGACAATATCCTTTATATCGATATAGACTATGTTACGTTATAATTATAGTTGTGGAGCCGCAGGTTTGCCTCTCTTTCGTCCACTTTTGTCTCTACGCAACGTTACTCCGCCTCGCCTTCACTGAAGACAACTCCCCCTCCTACCCCATCGCTTCACGTGCAGGCAGCGACAAGACGGACACGGCAAATCTCCGTTAACGAGTTACTGCGCATCGCCCCATGCGTGGGGCTGGACGGCGTCAACGTGCTAACGAGCTAAACATGCTAACGAGCTAACCGCGCTAACGAGCTAACCGCGCTAACCCTAAAATCCTTTCATTCTCTCAAAAATTGATAGCGCGCCTTATGTATGAATTCTGGTTGTGCTTGATGGCCGCGAACCGATTTTATGTGGAACACGGTGCTCAGCAATCTGTCAAAAATGTTTGAGTACGACTTTGGTAAGCTACGGAGCTGCACCGCTTGATAGATTGTCGGCGCATTACGGCTACCGAAGAGCTTCGCGGAGTGATACGTACTGTGCATCAACGTAATATTACCGTACTGTGTGTGTATAAGGACCATAAATGGCACCTGTAAGAGACGTGGTTATGAAGCGGATTTCAAACTCCAGGCTGTCAGTCACACAGTAAAACTTGGGAACAGAGCAGCTGTGAAATCTGTCTGTCTTTGTTATTACGCTCAGCGTCTTTTAGTTTACATTTGTTTAGCACAAAAACAACCTTGTTTTCTTTTATTTATGGAGCATTATTATTTAATGAATGCTCATAATTTAATTTTGAGTAATTTTTCATGTACATCTGTGCTGTATGTTAATAAAAGTGCCTGTGTGACATCTGGGACACAGCTTTGACTAAGAACTCTCTTTTTGTTCTTACTTTATGGCTTAAAATATATATATATCGAGATATATATCTTATATCGCCATCCAGCTAAAAAATATCGAGATATGAATTTTGGGTCATATCGCCCAGCCCTAGCATTTACCCAATATATCTGTAAATGATATTCATTGACTTGTCGATATTTTTCCCCCACGCCTCAGAGCAAAACAGAAAAGGGATTCAAATGTTATATTTCTCAGCTGTCCCTCGTTTATTGCGGGTGTTATGTTCTAAAAATAACCAGCGATAGGTGAAATCAAGTAGCCACTTTTATTTTTTGACGGTGCAAAACGTTTGGTGGACATCGTGGACATACAGTACTGCACTTCAGAGTCACACTGCCAGCGATCGATGCAGCGATTCTGTACTGTACAGTAGAGACGTCACGGAGATCGTCTGCAGCGATCAGGACGCAGGACACAATGTGATGTTAAAAAAAATAAAAAATAAGCATGCAAACTTGCACTAAAAAAAATCCACGACACAGCGAGGTGAAAGGTGAACCGCGTTATAGCGAGGGACCACTGTAATTTTGAAGGTAAGTCACAACATACCCTTCGTAAATACTAATGTATAGAAACCGTTACCAGCAATCATTCATTTTTTTTGTTAACATGCTGTGTAGGTGTGTACTTGACTAGCTGATATCGACATAACGCGGGAAACATCTGGTTTGACTATTCTTCACCTGTAGCTTGAATGCTGAACATTTGCCTGTTTAAATCATAAGACCAGTCACTATACAGAGATGTGCTTCTGAATGTGGACGATGTGTCTTCTGCTGCAGTAATGCAGTTCTGCTTGTGTTGAGTGATGTAAACAACTGCTTGATCTAAACGTTTTAAACGTCAAAATTGATCATTAGATTTTTTTATGACACAGCAGTGGTGAGTGTTCCCACCTTCTGCTCTTTGTAACTTAACGCGATCTTTCCGTTTTCGAGTTTTGGACATGATTTTGGAGTACATCTTCGCAGTAGCAATTGACTGCAAAGTAAAGCTACCGGAAATGTACAACCCCACATCCGGTCTCAAATCAGGAAGTTAGCATTTTCTCGTGCACAGGGTCTATTGTCACTTTGTCTTTCACATTCCAGCAGCAATGTGATGCACAGTTTGCACTGCTGTAACTTTACAGCAGGGCTTCATTGTTTAATAGCTCGCACGTATAAAATGTATTCAACCAACAGAGTGTCTATATAACAGTTAAAAATGGCTGTAAATAAAAGCATTGGTGAGAACAAAGTACTTCAAGCAGATTTGAAACAAGAATGCTGAACACAACCTGTTCCCAACAAGGTTTGTGCTCATCGTAAGGTATCACAGTGATTTAGCCATGTAAAAAGAGAGCCACTTTTAATGACACAAAGTCTGACTTTAAGCTTGACGTAGCACACTTACCCATTAATGCTGCTTCATAGTATATCCCATTTGCTCTCTTCTGCTCTTTCTTTTTCCTCTTTGAGACTTTTATATACATCGTGCATATTTAACTTTTTGAAAATCTTAACAGTGGTTTATCGTCTGACTCTTAGGTCCGATGTTGGGAGGTGCAGGACAATGGACAAACTGTTCCCAAGGCCCAACAGATGCACACAGGTCCAGTGCTGGATGCCTGCTGGAGTGATGTAGGTTTAATGTCTAAAATGTAATCTTTGCAGTAGATGCTGTCTGGTTGTAGAGTAATTTATGATCTGCTTTTCTTTTTTTCTGTCCAGGATGGAAGCAGAGTCTTCACAGCTTCCTGTGACAAGACAGCCAAGATGTGGGATCTCAACAGCAATCAAGCCATCCAGATCGCACAGGTTGGAACAGAAACCCAGAACAACTGTGTGGACATGAATGAAGCAGAATCATGTTACAGTTCTCATTATTTCTCTCCATAGCACGATGGCCCAATTAAAGCAATCCACTGGATCAAGGCCCCAAACTACAGCTGTATCATGACTGGCAGTTGGGATAAAACACTGAAGGTAAAAGCAGCATCCATCACAGTAATACACAAACATGCCAAGTAGTTATATACAAACAAAATAATAGAATTCCCCTAATCAAAATACAAGTGTCTGTAGTTAATTGCGTCATAAGCCATCATTTAAATAAGATAAGATTCCACAAACAGAGTGTGGTCATCCAGTTCAGTCATTTAACATTACTGAGATAAAGCCTAGAAGACCACTTGGTTACATCTGTCTGTGTCAGAATCCACCTTTCATTAAAACCGGCCACTTTGAGCTAATGCAAATTTTATGTGATATTGGGTGTAAACAGAGTTTAAATGTTTCTGTTTTTATCCTGGCTGGCTCAATTTAGCTTTTGGGGGTCACCCTGAAGTGACCCTTTAACCAACCACATGTCTCATTAAGCATATACACACCTGTGGAGTGATTCCAAATAATTGAATTTGCTGAAATTTATTCAAAGACACAGATGTTAAATGTTGTTTGAGAAAATGATTAATTATAAACAACACTTAGAAAAATGAGAGCTTTTTCTATTTGTCTCTTTAGTTCTGGGATACTCGATCTCCCAATCCTATGATGTCACTGCAAATGCCTGAGAGATGCTACTGCGCAGATGTTGTAAGTAAGAGTATGACAAATTCTGATGCTCACAGAATAGACTGATTATTGATTGACTTTTTTATGTTTAATGTGCCCTGTGTAGGTGTACCCCATGGCAGTGGTTGCCACAGCTGAGAGAGGCCTGATAGTGTACCAACTAGAGAACCAGCCCTCTGAGTTTCGCCGAATAGAATCTCCTCTCAAACATCAGGTGATTTGTCTTTTCCAAATATGTGTATACCTTATGCCTCTCACTTTTGTAATTTTGTACACTGCTAAGATTCATTTTTAATCGGTGCTACATGCATGTCAAGATATTGGCATTACTACTCTTTAACCAACGTGACATCCTTGCAGCACCGCTGTGTGGCCATATTCAAGGACAAGCAGAACAAGCCTACGGGTTTTGCACTGGGAAGCATTGAGGGCCGAGTGGCAATCCACTATATCAATCCTCCAAACCCGTGAGTGACTAATACAATCCACTGCTCGAATTCAACACCTTTTTCCTTTCTTTCTTTTCTTTATAAAATTATTGTTCTGGTTCTATAATTGAAACTGAAATATGAATCACTGTTCATTCGTTTCAGAGCCAAAGATAACTTCACCTTCAAGTGCCACAGGTCCAATGGAACCAACACAACCACTCCACAGGACATCTATGCAGTAAGTTGGTCTTAATTCTGGGCCAGTGCCGGCATTGTAGATAAATATATTTTGTGAGTTTGAGTCTGTTTGCTCTTAAAGGAGATATCATTTGATGAGACTATCCTAGTTTGTGGACTTTAGTAAAGCGCTTCAGTGTTAAATGAAGCTCTGATTTATTGTAAACATTATTCTTGTTAAAAGAGAAACATGGGATTCATTTTAGTAATGATATACTCTTGGTTAAACCAACTAAGATTTGTGTAAATTGGTGCAGTTTTTATGTTTGCTTTGTTTTCCATTTTGCACAAGTATAGGAGATTAAAATTTGGAATTTGTCTGCATTTCACAGAGTTAAACTTTGTAATTACAACATGCTAGTAAATAGGTGAATTTATTCAATTTATTATAAGTTCAACAGCAGGAGTGAGATCAATACAAAATTTAAAAGATACACTACAACCTGTCTTCATATAGTACAACTAAAATCCTTGCACAGTAAGGTTTAAAAATGATGATGAAAGAACTGCAGTGTAATTTAAAATATTACATTTCATTATCTGCAATCGTTAGTGTTTTATTTAATGCTTTCTTTAGTCTTAATGTGGCTATGACTGATATCTCCATGCTTTGAGCTTTTAAATGCAGTCATTATTATATAATTGCCTAATTATCTGTTGAATAATGGCACAATTTTCTCTTGTTTTTTTGTGGGGGGGGGGTCTAATATCTGTTAAATGAATCTCTTTCATTGTTATTTGTGTATAATTGTTCTTCCTATTTTATGTTTTCTCCCACCAGGTGAATGCCATCGCCTTCCATCCTGTCCATGGCACTCTGGCTACCGTGGGCTCAGACGGACGCTTCAGCTTCTGGGACAAAGATGCCCGCACAAAGTTGAAGACCTCAGAGCAGCTCGACCAGCCCATCACAGCTTGCTGCTTCAACCATAATGGCAACATCTTTGCGTATGCTTCCAGTTACGACTGGTCAAAGGTAGGCGCTAATAAATCGTTACAGTTGTTGGATCAGTACTCGAGTTAGCAAAGCTTGCCTTTTCACTCTGACTTCTACTCGTCATCATTCAGGGCCATGAGTACTACAACCCCCAGAAAAAGAACTACATCTTCCTGAGGAACGCCGCTGAGGAGCTGAAGCCTCGGAACAAGAAATGGTGAGAGAAGGGCAGTTAATGTCTATAAACCTGGAGACCGTGGTCACTGGACACGGCTGCCCTGTTTCCTCAGACTCTCACAGGGGCCTTTCAAGGGCATGCATGGATGTGTGAAGTAAGGATACTGATACGATTCAGATCTCAGCATCGTCATGTACTGCTTTAAGTAGCTTGTACAGACCATAAGTTTTGCTGAAGGTTTGCGTGGTTTCTGCTGTGATAATGTATTGAAGCAGCTTTTGCACCTGTACAATCAAAAAAGCACAGGATGAGGCCTGCTGGCTACTTTAGAGCGCTGAGTTTGAAAGTCTTTAGACTTTGCAGTGTAATTCTCAGCACAAAAAAATATATTTAAAGACAGATTTCATTAATTTATTAAATTATTGAGAGATTTATTAAATTATGGGCAGTGAAAAATGTATTTTTATAAATGGATTCATCAAAAGTTTACATTAACTATGAATTGTAAATGTTGATTTATGCCTGTAGTGATGCATTTCTCTGCTGTATGGTGATGTATTTCTTGACTGTTATGTGCAAAAAGGAGCAAATTTTCAGAAATAAACAAAAAAAGACGAAAAGAAACCTCAGAATGTTCCCTGTCACTGACTGCTCCCTCCTGTCTCCAGATTCATCGTGCCAAGTCACATCTTTTGTGGAGAAATTCAGACGACCTGCTGCTTTAGTGTGTATACGCTCGAGAAAGACTCCTTCCTTACGACAAACACCTGGACCAATGCCGTTGGGCTGTGTACTGTGCATGGACCAATCAGAAGGGCCTACCCATCCTGGCATTGATGACAGCTGCATGACAGTTGGTCTTAGAGGGAGAGGGCTTTATTTGGCATTCATCTGGATGTTATGGTTAATTTTTTTTTAATATGTCCAGCTTTTTATTTTTTACAGCTCTTCATTTTCTTGCGATTTGCTGTTACCCATGGTTTAGCTTCATTAATGAAACTCGGAAACTGTATAAATAAATATGTGTAAACACTTAGATTTGAACATGTTTATTCCAGCCTGAGGGAGAGCCCAGCTATTTTGCTGTCTCGATTGTTGAGAGTTTGGGGAACTGTACCCTGCATCTAAAAACGTCACCTTCAAACATCACCACTGTCTCTAATACTTCAGCTGTTTATTTCTCTGTAGGTGTTGGGAATAATCATAAAGTTAAGATAAACTGAACATCTGGCTCACAGTGTCTCCTCCTCTCTGCCTATGTTAATCCAAGCTAACCAGCAGGTGGAGCATTTTGCCCTGTATGGTTTTAATTCCAGCTGTTACTTATAGAAAAGGCCAGGGAGCTTAAGCAGGACAAATGATATCAAAGTTAAACACTGGGGTTTTTGACTGAGGCACAAAGCTGGAAAAGGGAGGGATTTATCAAGAGGATATGAATGAGGTAGCAAGACGAGCTACAAAGGGCATGCGAGAAAAGTGAAGCAGTTCATAGGGGAGAAGGTGTGAATTAAATACCTTTTTTATTGAGGTCATTAGAGTATCATCTCACTGTCAGCCTGACCTTTGGTACTTAGCATTGGAACTCCAAGGCACTGAGGGCGGGAAGATGTGCTGCTGCAACAGTTCATCGGCTCACCTCGACTTTCATGACGTGATGCTTGTGACACTTCTCTGGGTCCTGGTTCCTCAACAGTTCACCCGCTGCACCAAACTCTTTTGATTAGCTGAACAGAAAGTCCAAGTCAAATAAAGCGATTAACTGGAAGTCCAAGGCAAAATGGCAATTTAAACTTATTGTATGAGGCCTGACCTGTTGCTTTCAGCACTTACAGCTGAAGGCATCACTGGGTCTGTTTTTAGCAGTACATAGAGAATGCAACATCTGGCAAGACATTTTTACACTTGCCCCATTAATTTCTCAGTATACTATCAAAAAATATGGCTTAACCAGTCTGTTAACAGAATGCCCAACCATGTAAAGCTATTGGAGTCATGGCATCTGGCTCAAGAGTCAAAGACTATATATGGTAATATTATTAGGGGCTATTCCAGCCTTTTGAGATGTAAAAAAGTTTATAGTGATCATGAGACTGAAGCACTTTCTATGTGTTGTAGATGAGTGACTGTTTTATGTCGACTACATGATAAACATGGAAATCAGGAGCTTATCATGACCATGTAAGGCTCCAGAGTTTGTGTATGTGAGCTTAGCTGCTCTTTCAGCGGCCCCTTTTTTTCATGAGCATTGAGAGTTTAATCATTAGCAACTCTTTAACTTTTGCTATCTGCTCAGGCTATAGCTGCTACCTCACGATTCCAAAGTCAAACGAGAGTAAAATAAGCACTCTTTTAAGCTCTGGGTTAGGTGTTTTAGGAAAGAAGCTGAATCCTTTACTTCCTCGTTACAGAACCATGTCTGCCACATGGTTCCGCGCTTTTTGCCGTAGTGTGCGGCTTTTTCTTTGTGTTTGTAAAAGACAAAAGCAGGTGCAGCACAGCGCCGGGAAAGGATGAAGGGGGAAACTAGCAGGAGTGAGCGCTGCCAAGGCCGGCACCTAGGCTGTAAGCCGATTGGCTGGCAGCGGAAGGGGGCGTGGCCCGGGTAACTGCACTATAAATGATCCCAGCGGTTCCTCTCAGCAGCGAAGCAGCAGGCATCCTCGACGCGAGTTCACGCGGACTGAGTCGTGGATATCATCAGGTTGCTGCAACTTTGAAAAAACATAAAAAAAGAGTTGGAGAAGCTCGAGTGAAGCATAGCGAGACTGGGCTTGGTTTCTCTGATGCTGGGACTCTGTTAGCTCTAAGTCTTCCGCGTGCCAAGTACTGGTCTCCGGCTGATCCAATGCTTCTTCATCAGTATATGAACGGAGCCCTGGACGTCATGCATCCCACAGCGCTTCAGAAAGACACTACTTTTACCAAGATCTTTGTCGGCGGGCTGCCGTACCACACAAACGATGCCTCACTTAGAAAATACTTTGAGGCCTTTGGGGACATTGATGAGGCTGTGGTGATAACGGACCGACAGACCGGCAAATCCCGAGGATACGGCTTCGTAAGTAGAAGCAAAACTTTCACTATCATCCGCTCGCTTTCACGACATTTAGCGCAATCAAACCGTATCATCTATCAGCTAAATTCTGTTTGTGTCTACATAACAGCGATCTTTTTGTTTGCTGCTGTGTCTCTCTCTCTTTGAGTTTTGCGACTCCGCATAATACAGCATTCAGTCATTCAAATACATGTCAAATGCACCCCCACCACAACCCCTAACACACACACACACGCGCGCACACACACTGAGGCTTAACCGCACAATTGCGCAGCAGCATCTCCGTTTTTGCCTGGCTGGCTGTTATTTTAGCTTAATGAGGATGAGGGCTCACACAAGTTGATGGATAACTAAGAAGATTATAATTCAACATATGTCTGATGTCACCCCCACCACCCAATCAAGTCTCCCCCACCTCATTCACTCCTAAACAGCCTCGGCTTATGGCTCTTGGAAGT